AAACTATAGAAGGAAGCCAGGATTTGGCTAAAATATTAGAAAAACACAAGTAGTTAGCAGATCAGAAATATAGCAAAAATTGGTCAAAGTTGACCAGAAAAAAAAACCTCCCTAAAATTTTCTAAAATTATTTATAATAAAGTTTTTGAAGATGATCAAATTGACTAAGTATTAGCCAAACAGCTAACGTCGGGACAAAGGCTAATTTTGGTGAGGCATCGCTAAACGATCCCAGAAACAGAGCCATTGATTAACCAGTTGTTAGCTACAGTTAGCACTCGTAGACTGGCCGATCCTGTGACAAACACAGGTTGATTTTTTTTTTGTTTTTTTTAAACATCACCTGCAGCAATCCTGGTGATTTTGCTATTGTTTTGTCCCATTTTTGACACAAAAACCCTGACGATGAATTTGATGATGTGTCATCGACATAAATGAGAGCTGAGGAAAAAAAAATCCCGTGATGACTGTTGGGTTGACTTTCCTGTTAAATATTAAAAACCCTTTTTGTTTTTACAGCTTCATGTACGGCGAGCTCACAGACAAGGACACCACGGAGAAAGTGCGACTCACGTTTGAGAATTACGAGATGAACTCGTTCGAGATTCTCATGTACAAGAAGAACAGTGAGTAGGAAAAAAAACCCGTCACGCCTGATCTGGAGTTGAGACGATTCACGCTGTTGTCATGCAAATGTATTCACAGCCTGTGTTAAAAGTATAGCGGTGAGTTCAAAGGCAGCCCAGAACAGAGACCAGCTAATTGGACCGCAGAAACTCCAGGAATCTTTTTTTTTTTCTTTTTCCAAACTACATATTTCAGTGTCATCGTGCACACAGTGAGTGTTGATGTGAGGCTGGGCAGATGTTGCTGCTGAATACTGTATGTGTGGCCTTGTTCCTCTGCTGCAGGAACACCTGTGTGGTTCTTCGTGAAGATCGCTCCCATTCGGAACGAACAGGAGAAAGTCGTGCTGTTTCTCTGCACGTTCAGTGACATCACGGCCTTCAAACAGCCAATCGAAGACGATTCGTCCAAAGGTTAGACTCGGTCAATCCATTTTTTTTTCCCCATAAAGAATCGATCTCTGATTACCACAGAGTAAAGTTGGTTTGGTCCACATCACAGGACTAACCTTTGACCTTTAGTAGACAACATCTGGTATCTATAATGTGGCCCATAAACTGGTCTACAATTGAATTGAATGGTCAACCAGATGTGGTCCACAGTTTACATTTCATATTTACCAATGATCTGTAATTTGACCAAAATGTTTTTTTTTAAATAATTTAACAAAATGTAATTAATTTCAAAGTTTTCACCTAATAAATGAAAGTATTATCAAAATATCAAAGGATATCAAGATTAAAATCCCAACATCGACAATCAGCATGTGTTTGTTGAGGCTCAACCTCAGGTCAGCGGCCCCGGCTTGTGTCAGAACAACAGTTTGAATATTTGTCATTTTGCTCCAGAAAAATACAGAAAAAAAAGTTCTTAGTCATATATAGAAAATGTGGATTTCTCTCGATTAATCACGATTATTTGTTATCCATCCACGGCTACACTGTTAAGAATTTGAATCACGTGACAACGCTGTGCTCCGCCAGTAAAAACATTGGATACAGTTGTGTTCCAAATCGTCCAAAATGTTGAAGTTGCTCTGAGCCAAAAGAGAATAAAAATGTTCTTTTTTGCGACCAGAGATCGCAGCGCAGAGTTTCTTGTCTCCGACTTGAGTCTGTTCTCCGTCCTGAGGCGACTGGCAGCAGCAGAGGGTGGAGCTGAGTTACTACCATTAAGACAAACATGAAAAAGAAAAAAAAAAAAAGTTGAACTGAACTGTTTCCCATTCGGTCCATCAGAAAGTTACTGACGCTCCTCAGTCCATTAGACTTTTTATGGTTTGTCTTTTTTTTTTTTTGACTGCAGCTAGAACTGAATGTGATTGCGAGCTGAAGTGCTGCAGCCGACCAGGGAGCGCACACACAGGACAGATGTTATTAAAGGCTTCAGAGCTGAAGTGAAACATTATGATTTCATGAGCTATTGTCAATCAGCATCATCAGAAAAAAACAAAAAAAACAACAAAAAAAAACCCACTCTGGTATCAATTTCCATCAAGACAAACAGAGTCTGATCCTCACCATCTGCTCCCAGGTTCTCGATGTAATAAAAGAACCCATCGTTTCATTGAAGTGAAGGAGTTCTGCCGGCGCGGGGCAGAACAATGCACATAAAAAGTTTCAGACCCAGAAACTTTTCTTTTTATTATCCCCTCAGAGAAAAATCTAGAAGCAGAAAAAAAACATCCTGGGAATTGTGATGGAGAAGGACTGAGCGTCTGAACTGTGTTTACAATCCTCAGGTTGGGGGAAGTTTGCTCGACTGACTCGAGCGCTAACGAGCAGCAGAGGAGTTCTCCAGCAGCTGCAGCCCACGGTCCACAAAGGAGAGAACGTCCACAAACACTCCCGCTTAGCTGAGGTGAGGAGGAAACCGACGAGTGAATCGGTGACGAAGGGAACTGTTTGTGTTGTGAGTAGTTGCTGTCGTCAGTCCAAAAGTGACACAAATTCATGAGGCGTTCCTTATTTTTAGACACCACAGTCTCTCATGGGGCGAAGGAGATAGATGTAAAACGTAACATTTGATTTCAGGCGCCACGATTGGAGCAAATGAGCGACTGAGGCGATAACATCCAATCAGCAACAAATTTTTCCAGACCTGAAGCAGATAATTTTATTTTTGGAAACGGATGAAATCATCAATCGCCTTTGCTGCTAAGTTTTATCGGGATAACCACGAGTTAAGCAAAATTAGCGAATTAAGCAACAATCCAAAAAATGATCAAGAGGCACGATACCAACATTTCAAACTTCATTTTTACATCTATCAGATTTGGTTTTAACGCAGCTTTAAAGTCTTTTTTTCATTTCTTTAGTCTCAGGAACGCCTTTTTGTTTTTTTCGTCTTATAAAATATTTCCGACATGAAGACTTCTGTTCCTGTGACACGTTCAGGTCCTGCAGCTGGGCTCAGACATCCTACCTCAGTACAAGCAGGAGACCCCCAAGACCCCGCCCCACATCATCCTGCACTACTGCCTCTTCAAGACCACCTGGGACTGGGTCATCCTCATCCTCACCTTCTACACGGCCATCATGGTCCCGTACAACGTCTCCTTCAAGACCAAGCAGAACAACGTGACCTGGCTGGTGGTGGACAGCATCGTGGACGTCATCTTCCTGGTGGACATCGTCCTCAACTTTCACACCACCTTCGTCGGTCCTGCCGGCGAGGTCATCTCCGACCCCAAGCTGATCAGGATGAACTACCTGAAGACGTGGTTCGTCATCGACCTGCTGTCCTGCCTGCCCTACGACGTCATCAACGCCTTCGAGAACGTGGACGAGGTGAGTGTGTCACGGTGTCTGTGTGTGTGTTGGTGCGGGGGGTTCAGCTGGAACTGGGAAATGTCAAAACTTCATGTACACTGACGAGACGAGACCAGCCTGTCGTCTGTGATGTATTTCATTTTGACCCAGCACGGCAGAGTCAGAAAGTTCAAAGAAAAATAATGTAGTTTCAAAGACGTCACATCTAAATAAGTCAGCAGGGGGCAGCTCAAGCGCCCAGGGGGAAATGGGTGTGGACGGTGCCATCCTCAGAGCACCTCAGCACCTAACTTAGCAGCTCGTGGATTCGAAACCTGAAACCTTCCAGTCCACTCCCTAACCACTGAGCCACCACTGCCCTGAGTTAACATAAAAGTCTCAACCAGAAGCTGAAATTTTAAATTTCAAATATATATATATATATAAAATTCCTTCAGTTGAGCTCCCGTCGATGTGTTTATCTAAAGATAGTCTTGTTATTGTGAAACATTAACCGGTTGCTCCGTCTGTGAGTGAGGACTCAGGATGTGGAGCTGATTTAATAAGCAGTGGTAGAACACATCACAGCCTCTCTGCTGCTGCTGCTGCTGCTGCTGCCGCTGCTGCAGCTGGCGCGGCCGCGTGGGGGGCGGGG